TAATAATAAAATAGTTGAAAGGGACCTTGGAGGTCATCTAGTCCAACCCCCTGCTCAGGCAGGAAACCCTATACCATTTCAGACAAATGGCTGTCCAGGCTGAGATTATCTCAAGTTCCACCAATATTTTACTCTAAGAACCTGAGCCTTGGCTAAAATTACCACAGGCCTCCAGAACTGACTTTATTTCAAGAAAATAAGTCCAATTCCCTGACCTGAAGTAATTTTAGTTAACTTTTTTGTTTAGTTACTTGAAGTAGCTAGTCCTCTACATGTCTTGCTTCTTTTAAGGATTTGAGCCTTGACCAAAACTTCCTCAGGTCCCAAGAGCTGACTTTATTCAAGAAAGGGCAACTCCAGGGATTGAAGTCATTTTGCCTTTAAGCTAATTTTAATGCTTGTTCACCTGTGGTAGTTTAGCCCTTTTAACTACACCTGGCTAAAATTGCCTCAGCTTACTGCAAGGACATAGCTAAAATTACCCCAGATTTACTCCAACGTTTTATTCTAAGAACTTGAAGTCCTGGCTAAAATTCCCTCAGGCACCAAGAATTCACTTTATTCCTGAGAGGAAGGTCCGCTCCTGAGGCAATTTTTTCTTTAAAGGTAATTTTAACTCTTATTCACCTGTGGTGGTTTGGTCCTTTTTTAAAAAGAACATGGCTGAAATTACCTCAGGTTCCACCAAAATTTTAAGAACCTGCGCTTTGACTAGAATTACTTCAAGACACAGCGGTTTGCGTTATTCCCCATATCTTTAGTGACCTGTGGTATGGGCGTCCTTTGAATAAAACACCGTTATGATATTACCTCAGCCACCCCTGGCGTTTTACTCCAAAGAATACACGCCGCGTTTAAAATTACCACAGGTGCTATCCTGACTCCCCGAGACCAATGAGCTATTAATTAGCTAAAGAACTCGCGCTCCCCTCAGTATCTCACAACGTAGAAAAGTCTCCGCTAGAATTACCTCAAAGCTCAAAAGGCCCTGCCCGGCCTCGAGCTCGAGGGCTTGGGCCGCGGGAGCGCCAGAGAGAGACTTTTTAGCCCCCCCGGCGCCCCGCAGCATCTTTCGGGGACCGAGAGACGCGGTAGCGGCGTCTGCTTCCTGCGCAGCGCGCTCGCTTTACTTTTTTTGCACTCCGCCTGAGAAGCCCGCCGACTTTTTAAATGTCCCCGCCTCTCGGAGAGGGGGGACAGACCGCTCAGCCAATCCGAGGGACGCATTTTCGGAGCAGCCAATCACGGGCGAGATGGGCGAGCAGAAAGGAACCCGCGAGGCGGTCCGAGGGCGCTGGGCGGGAAAGGCTCGTGCTCCTGCGCGCGAAAGCACAGGTGCGGTCGGTCGGCTGTCTCCCCTGCTCGCGGAGCGGTTGCCATGGAGACGGGCGCGGAGCGCGGGAAGGCTCATCACGGCCAGGTGGGCCTCAGCCGCACAGGTGAAGGCGATTAGGCGGCTGCGACGCTGGGTGTGGGTGTGAAATGCCTTCCCCTCAAGGCTCCCCCCCCTGCTTAAAATGCTCACTTTTTTCAAAAAAATCTGAAAATGTAATATATACAAAAAAAATAATAAAAATAAAACTATGGTTATATATACAGTATAGGAGATACTTTGGACTACAGGTCCCATTAGCCGGCCTTGGGGGAGGGGTGATGGGGATTGCCTCTCTTGCAACAGATTGCCCTTCTGGCTGGTGGATCGTCCCTTCCACCTAAAATTCAAAGCTCTTTTTCTGTTTTTTTGTTTGCATCTTCTCCTCCCTGTCTTGCCAGGCAGCCCTTGGTTTTATTTTGAATTATTTTTTTTCCAGTCTTTTTTTCTTTAAGAAAAAAAAAATCCAGGACGGGTTTATTTTGCTTTCCTTTGCTTTGCTTCCTAGGATTCTGCTAAAATGTTATAATAGAGTTTCTGATACATTGTGTCTTGCCCAATGAAAGAAACTGACTCAAATTTGAAAATATTTTTTCCTTTTTCTATTATTGGAACTCTTCCCTACCCACAATTAAATGTTTTCAAAAGAAGTCGGATACATTTATATCCCCATAAGGATTTTAATAAATTTTAATGAGTCCCCTCTCAACATTTTCCACCATGTTGCGCCCTCTAGAAAGAGTGCAGAGAAGAGCAAACACAGATGATTAGGGATCTGGAGGCTAAAATATATGAAGAACGGTTGCAGGAATTGGGTATGTCTAATTCAGGGGTCTCCAAACTTGGCAACCTTTAACTTGTGGGCTTCAATTTTCAGAATTCCCCAGATAACTTGGATGGCCGGGAAATTCTGGGAATTGAAGTTCACACATCTTAAAGTTGCCAAGTTTTTGAGACCCCTGGTCTAATTTCATGAAAAGGAGGACTAGGGGTGACATGATAGTCTTCCAATATTTGATGGGCTGCCACAAAGAAGAGGAGGGTGTCCACCTGTTCTCCAAAGAACCCAAAGGTAGGACAAAAAGCAACAGGTGGAAACTAATCAAGGAGAGAAGCAACCTAGAACTAAAGAGAAACTTCCTGACAGTGAGAACAATTAACCAGTGGAACGGCTTGCCTCCAAAAGTTGTGGGTGCTCCATCACTGGAGGTTTTTAAGAAGAGATTGGACAACCATTTGTCTGGAATGATATGGACTAAGAGTGTCCAACCTTAGGAACTGTAAGACTTGTGGAACTTTAAAGACTTTAAAGATTTCCCCATGCTGGCTGGGGAATTCTGGCCATTGAAGTTCACAAGTTCACAGTCTTAAAGTTCCAAGGTTGTATACCTCTGGTATAGGTCTCCTGCTCGAGGACTAGAAGACCTCCAAGGTCCCTTCCCACTCTGTTTTTTTGTTATCCTTTCTGTGTCCCAGTAAAATATTCATTTATTCTTCTGCCAACTTTGAGTTTCATAAGCCCAACTGATGTCCATGCAGAGCTGACATGCTACAAGATTGGTGTGGTCACAAAATAAATTGAAAGAGATCAGGGAAAGATCTAGCAATTGCATTCCCACAGTGGGCTATTTTGGCTTAATGTTGTCTTAATGTGTTGAATTGGGTTAAGACTATCTGTATGTTATTGGAAGGCACCAGTTCTAGTTCCTCCATGGTCTCCCAGAGCTCCTTGGAGTCCATCACTGTGACCAGTATTGGACCTCCTCGCTCCTGGTCCTGCCCAAATTGTCTCTGTTGCAGGTGAAGAAGATTGCTGCTGAATATTACAACAACCGTCCCCATTACCAGTCCTGGGGGCTTGTTCTCTGGGTCTTTATTTCGAATGAGAGGCTGGGCCCTTTCAGCCACTTGAAGAGAACCTACAAGAAGGTGTAAGAGGAGGGGTGTTGAGGGTTCCCCTTCCCTCTTCAAGGGGCTCCTTCCTCCCAGATGCAAGTCCAGGAACCAGGATCAGATGAAGGCCTTCATTGAAACTGCCCCAACAAAGTTCTTTGGAAAAATTAACAGAAAACCTTGAGAGATGCCCAGGCTGATGAGATGATGTCCAGAACCTTCAAAGGATGTTGTTCTGCATTGAGTCACATCCTTGGTCCAAGTTGACCCTGACCCACAACATCTCTGTAGGCTTTCAGGTGAAGTTTTCCCAACCAGAGCTTTTGCGTGCAGAAGAGATGGTCAGCGGTCCATCTGCAGCCTCTTCACAAGGCTCCATTTCTCTTGGGGTCTTTGCCACCCATTCCTGAATCAACAGAAGTTGCTGTCTCCCATGGCCAAGCCTCCTTCTGCCTCCTTGGGTCCTGTTCCTAGGCCCTTCCTGTGTGACCCCTTGCAGGCTCTCTCTCTCTCTCTCTCATCTGACAGAAGACATCTTCAGGGATAGCAGAGGCTGGATTTTCTCTGGAACCTGTGATGGGGTTTAATATTAAAAGTATCTGGAGCACTGAAAAGTTCTGCTGCCTGATTCACCTGCAGTAATCCCTTAAAAAATTAGTTGAAGGAATGCTTTTTTTCAGTTTAGAACTGCCAAACGATCAATAGGTGTGAGAAATGGGTATCCAATTCAAGAAGTGGTTGCGGGGAATTATGGGAGTTGAAGTCAGGCTGGGGAAGGAGAGGCTGTGGTGGTTTGAGCTCCCACTTTTTGTGCAGCGGTTGAACCTCTGTATGTATTTATCAAAGGGACATTTTATACTCTTAAGGCTGGAAGGGATTTTGAAGCCTTTGCTGGCTGGGGAATTCTGGGAGTTGAAGTCCCAAAGTCTTAAAAGTCGGGGAGGTTAGTCATCCCTGCCCCTGGCACATTGTTTCTGCCAGGGTTTTTCAACCTGAGCGACTTTTAAGACTTAACGTTGCTCTGGTTGAGAAATACTGATTTATGCAATCCTTTTATTCCAATGCATAACCTTGCTTTTCACACGAGAGGGAATGCCGTGATGGGTCCAAACTGCGCTTTTGCAAAGAATCGGGGTCAACTCTGCAATGGGTCAGGCTCCCTGGCTTCCTTCCCCAAGGTGGGACCCTCGACCCACGTGGCACTGCAAGTCCCATGCTCCCCAGCCATGCACATAGAAGACAACCCGCGCCAGCGTCAAAGCAGGGGCTTTCCTTCCGCCGGACCTAATTGTAGACGAAGGCTGAGCCCCTCTTTCACTCCTCCGGTGCAAGGACGCCGCAGGACCCCCGTGCCAGGCCCTCACAAAAGCACTGCGCAGTTGCAATTGCGGCTTTCGCTCCTGCGCGCCCGGCCTGCCCTTTTCTCTACCAGCGGCTGCCCGGCTTCAGCCTTGCCCGCCCTTCTCCATCGCGCCTCCTCATTGACCGCTTCCGCTCCCGCGAGATGCATCGCGACTTTCTATTGGCGGGCCTCCCTGCCCGGGCTTCGAGGCCGGATGAGGCGAGGGCGGGGCCGAGGGCAGAAACTCCGCAGGAGAAAGAAAGGCCGGGCCGCGCAGGACGTGGGCGGGGCAGGCGCGGCGAGCGGGCAGGTGATTGGCCAGTGGGGGGAGCGGCGCGGCGCCGATTGGCTGTCCGGAGGGAGCGGCCCGGGAAGGGGCCTTCGGCGCGGCGGCACCGGGAACAGCGACGGTGGCGGCGGCCGGGATGAGCGTGACCGGGACCCCCGCGGTGGTGTCGGTCTCCATCAGCAGCAGCCTCAACTCCTTCCGGGCCCTGAAGAGATATGCCCGGGGCCTCACTATCGCCGAGTTCAAGGTAGGGCGGCGGGCCCGGTTCCCCTAGCGGGCCACCCGCGCCCATCATCCCCAGCCCGATGGGAGAGGGAGTCCGTGGTGATGCTGGTGGACTACAACTCCCATCCTCCTCAGCGGCTCCTGGCACAGGTCCCTGCCCGGCCCTTGCCAGCCTCCCCCTCTCCCAGCCCATGAGGCCCTGCCGGCGTGGCTTAGGGATGTGGGAGTCCACATGGCCCAAGTGCCCCGTGGAAGTTCTGGTGGCGGTTGGGGGGGGAGGGTTCTGGGCCACAACCCCTCCCTGCTCAGCCTACCTTGCAGGGCCGTTGTGGGGGAGAATGACAGAAAGCCGCCTTGGGGAAAACGGGGGAAGAGGGTCAGGCTGGTGTATCAGCATCAAAAATTGTATTATAATTGTGAATATTCTGCAAGGCAAAATGGGAGAGGATGGCAGCCCCGACGGGGGCATCGCTCTGCATTCACGCCGAGGATACATATAAGGCTTAATTCACCAGTAGATTTATCAGTAAGTCAGTAAATTAACATATAAATTTAACAAACAAACGTGTTTGTGGGGGGCACACACACATGTATATACAAATACATACAAATACATATTTGTATATTTGTGTGTTTGTGTACACAATGCACACACCTACATAAAACATGATAGATAGATAGATAGATAGATAGATAGATAGATAGATAGATAGATAGATAGATAGATAGATAATAATGATATATGATTAGATTGATACATGATAGATGTTTGACAGATAAGAATGGATGGATGGAGAGAGAGAGAGAGAGACATATGTGCGCGCTGCAGGTACGTCTTGGCCCCAAACTCCACTGCCAGCTGGGGATGATTGGACCTATGGGCCTCCCAGATCCAGGATGGGCTTAAACAGAGTGTTTGGATTGTTGCACTGTTCACAAGGACCCCTCCCACTTAAGGGAGCCCGCCCCACCTCATCCCTGAGGAAGAACCCACCATGGCTGAAGGAATGAGACTGGTGGCCCCATCAGGATTTATAGCTTCCCCCTCTTGCCTCTGATGGTTTCAGGTATCCTCACCCTGAAAAGAGATATGACTAGATGATCTCTAAGATCACTTCCCACTCATATATTCTGGGACTTTAGGATATCTGCATCCGCTGCCCGGTTTTGGCTTTCCACACTGGGCTGTGAGTTGCTGTGACGACAGCTAAATAATGAAACACTTTATTAAAGCATTAATCTAAAAGGTTTTAAAATAGAGCTGAGCCCCCACCCCAAATCTGAAGGGGCTTCTTGAGTGCCAGCATCTGTCTTTTGCTGCAGACTCATTGCTGCGTTTCGGCGACCTGCGACGGCAGAGGCATCCCTGTGCCACTTTGCTGTCCATCAATCATGGCAGCCAAATTGCAGTGGGCATGCAGGTTTGATCCAAGGATTAAAAAGGCAAAAATCCCCCCCCCCTTCGGCTCTTTTTGGAGGGCTTGTCTGCCCCCCCAAGCAAGAGAAAGATTCCTATGCCCAGGGAGAATAGCCTGCAGAGAGGGAAGCAATGCCCCAGAGTTTGTGCATCACAGCAGATTGTGTGCTCCTGATCATCCCTGATTGTTATAAACGCAGGGTGCTCGCACACACACACACACACACACAGCGGGTTCTCCGCAGATGGCACTCTTTGATCCTCTGCCTGGTTTTGGCGGGCAAAGCGGCTGTTTTTGGCCACCCGGGCACTTCCCACCGAACTTCGGTTACCAGCCTCAGGGATTTCCCAGGCTACCTTGGTAGGTGCCTTTCCCCCCCCCCCTCTTTTGAGCTGCAACCCTCCAGACAGGCCACTGATCAGCAGAATAGCCGTCTCTGCATTGTGCATCCTGGCAGGGATTAACTGCAGTCTGGCAGCGGGCATTTCGTGCCCGGCTGGGTAAATCTGCCACTCAGCCTTGTGCCCTCTTTGCACAGCTCTAGCTTATGGCCCTATGCCAAGGGGTGGCTTTTGTTTCCTCTCCCCTGTATGTATGTGTGCCTGTCTGTATATTATACTGTATATAATGTTGGTGATGAAAAATTTGCAGAGAATATTAAGAATAATACTTGCCAAGCCTGCCTTCTCCGTTCTGCCTTTGTTAGCGCTGAACCACCCTTTGGCAGGCTGCGTTATTGTTGCCCAGAATTCATCAGAAGAGCAGTTTGTTTGCCATTCAGAGAATTGGGAATTAAAGTGGGATTTGATGCTCAGGAGAGTCCTTCTTTCTTTATTTTAGCTATTTAATTTGTAGCACCTCTGCCCTGCCACGCTGAAGCGATGACTCTTCCACCCTGTATTTGAAATGGATCAAAACATAAATAGGAAAGCAGTAATGGCAACAGCCTCCATATAGAAGCATGGACACACACAAAGGGAAAGGAAAGGGAAGGGAAATAAAGGAAAGGGAAGGCCATATGAGCTATGGGACTTGAGGAATTCCCTTCTGAAATAATTCAATTTTGGAAAATTTGCAGGGAACTGAAAAGGAGGGGTCCAGCTGGTGGTGGTTGATGGGGTGAGAGACAAATGTCCCCGCTCCCTTCCCGTCCGTGCCCCTTGGTTTTAACATTTCATTTATTTATTTGTGGTTCACCTTAATTGTAATGCTGTTAATCTTTTTATGCCTCCGTTTTATACTGCGGTGAGCCACCCAGAGTCAGATAATGAGATGGGTGGCGGATAAAGTTGAGAAATAAATGAAATTTTAGTGGAGCAAGTTCAGCAGCCCCATTTTCTATCCCATCAATGTTGCTGTACTTGCTGGTTCTGTTATCCCAAAGGGACCCTTAGCTGAACCTCCAGTCATAGTTAAGGATGGCTGGGAGATTCCTCTTTCTTTCCTCCTGGCTCCACTGCTTCCACAGTGAATTGTTTTGAGGGGCCGGCTGAAACTCCCCTCCGGATGATGTTGGACCCAGAGAGTTGAGTCACTGCTGCAATTAAGGGCAAAGGGGGGGGAATGGCTGTGCTGCCAGTCACAGGCAATCCTCGACTTACAGACATTTGTTTAATGACCGTTCGAAGTTACCACGGCACTGAAAGAAGTGACCTATGACCGTTTTTCATACTTACGACCGTCGTGGCATCCCCAGGTCACGTGAGCAAATTTCAGACGCTTGGCAACTGACTCGTATTTATGACGGTCACAGTGTCCCGGGGTCATGTGATCACCTTTTTTGACTTAACAAGCCAAGATTCGCTTAACGACCGTGTGACTGACTTAACAACTGCAGGGATTCACTTAGCCACTGTGGCAAGGAAGGTGGTAAAGTGAGGCAAAACCCGCTTAACAAATGTCTCACTCAGCAATGGAAATTTTGGGCTCCATTGTGGTTGTAAGTTGAGGACTACTTGTACCTGCGAGGAATCCTGACGGGCTTTCTCTTTGCTAGTGCAAGCTGGAACTCGTCGTTGGAAGCCCAGCTTCCTGCATGGAACTTGAACTCTACACCCCGGACGACAAGTTTATGATGAAGCTGGACCGCGATGAGGCCTTGCTGGGCTCGTACCCGATTGACGATGGATGCCGAATCCATGTGAGTCTGCATGGATTCCGGCTCTTTTCTTGAGGCTTCTTTCCCTATTGCAAAAAAACTTTATTAATTCTCTGAGGGTTATTCTTGAGCCGAAGTCTCCAAACGTGGTGCCTGTAAGACGTGTGGACTTCAACTCCCAGAATTCCCTAGCCAGCTATGAATTCTGGGAGCTGAAGTCCACAAGTCTTAAAGTCGCCAAGTTTGGGGACCCTTGAGTTAGTTGAACAACATTCACCTCTGCTTCTGGACTGGAACCTACCAGTGACCTGAAGTGGACGCCTTCTTTGGCCCCGTAGGTGATAGACCGAAGCAGTGCAACAGTCGGGGAATACGAAGATGTCTCGAGGGTGGAGAAGTTCCAGATTTCGGATACTGAATACGACAAACGAGCAGGTAAGAACAGAAGTCACACCCTCTGTGTGGGATGTTTGAGCAGCAGACGCTTATTTATTCCAGAAATGGGGTTTAGAGCAGGGGTCTCCAAAGTTGGCCATGTTAAGACTTGTGGACTTCAACTCCCAGAATTCCTCAGCCAGCCTGGAATTGCTGAGTGAAATGGAAATGGTGGGAGGAAACCCCATCAGCCTTGAAGCTGACATCATTTCCCCTTCATTGAGAGAAGTAAATCTTATTTCTTAAGAATAAAAATTGGATATTATATATTTATATATAAAGGGAGAGAGACAGACACCGAGACAGACAACAGATGGATATATATATATATATATATATATATAATTTCCATCTGTTGTCTGTCTGTGTCTCTGTATACTGTATATTCCCCAATCGATATATAAAAAATACAGCTGTTGATATTACATATATAAATATGTATGTATCTGCATGTATATATATGTATCCAGTGTAATTTATATTATATATATTAAATATATAAATATTTGGCTCAGCTTCTGAGCAGAAAGCGTTGAAAAGGGTGGTCCCTTTGAGGTCTTCCTTTCCCAGTGATACAAGGTGGATGCTTTTATGAAAACCGAATTTTTAAAGACTTACCAATGGAGGGAGGTTAGCTTTTTTGGGGGTCCCTACGAAAGGCCTCTGCTAAGCCACTGGCTCTGCCCCGCAGACACGGCCCGCTCGTTCATGAAGCGCAGCAAGCTGGGACAGTACAATAAGGAGGAAATGTCGAGGAAGGAGGCCGAGTTAGAGCAGAAGCTGATGGAGGAGAAAGCCCTGGCTGAGGCCATTTCCGTGGGGGCCAGGTGTGAAGTGCGAACATTCGGGCAGCCCAGCAAACGGGGGATGGTGATGTACGTGGGTGAGTATTTTACTTTTACATCCAAGGTCCCAAAATCGCTTTTTAAGAGGTAACTGGACTTTGTCGGTTTTATTTTTTTCTTTGAAAAGGTTTCGCTTCTCATCCAAGAAGCTTCTTCCGTTCTGAAAAAACACACCTTTAAAAAAAAAACACACAACTAGATCTCTGCCTGTGTGGCTTGCTCTTGAAACACAGTGAACACAGCTCTGATCCCTTTTTTGCTACTTTGAATTTCAGTAAATTGTTAGTTAGCCTGCTTCAATTGGCTGTCTGAAACAGTGCACACACAAGAGTTAGTTGAATACCTTTATGACTCTCTCTTTGGTTTTTCATAGGCTTAACTGAATTCAAACCTGGTTACTGGGTTGGGATCAAGTATGACGACCCTTTGGGAAAACATGATGGCAGGTAAATCCCCCTTTGGTCTGTTTTTGGCCTTGTAGCTGTCAACATGCCCCTTCTTGGGGGGGGGGGGGTCCTGAGTTTCTGGCTGGGAAAAAGATGGTCCACAATGGAGAATTTTATTTTATTTATTAATAAAATGTATATTGCAGGGGTCTCCAAACTTGGCAACTTTTAAGACTTATGTTAAGTCAGTAACATGGTTGTTAAGTGAATCTGGCTTCTCCATTGACTTTGCTTGTCAAAAGGTCCCAAAAGATGATCACATGATCACTGCAACCGTCATAGATATGAGTTAATTTGCCAAGAGTCCGAATTTTGATCACATGACCATGGGGATGCTGCAGTGGACATAAGTGTGAAAAATGGTCTTAAGTCACTTGTTTCAGTGCCATCGTAACTTCAACCGCAATTGATCCATGTGCTTATTTGTTGTTATTTCCTTTCCTTTCCTGACAGCGTCAACGGCAAGCAATATTTTGAGTGCGAGCCAAAGTACGGAGCCTTTGTGAAGCCTCAGCATGTCACCGTGGGGGACTTCCCAGAAGGGGACTATGGGCTGAACGATGAAATGTGAGGGAAGCAGACAGGAGGAGGGAAGCGGAGAGGATCTCCACGGCCCCTGCTTGCTGGCAGAGCTCCGGTTGCCGCTGTTTCCGCAGAGCACCGCTGCGCTCTGATCCCAAGTCGGGGGTAGCTTGAGTGAAGCAGAAGAACTGTGTGTTTCGACATGTTGGTTGTTTGTCCCTTTCCCCTGGTTGTCTCTGTTCAGTAAAGATGCCTCATTGCCTGATTTTTCCATGCACACCCTTTAGCTCAGTAACGGAGAACCAGAATGTCTTTGATTGTGGTAGCCGTTTGGGGGAGGGAGATAATGGTGATATCTCCCCAATTTTCCCGTGACAGCGAGTGGAAACTGAGATTGAGGGTTCTGAACAGATGTATATACAACTCTGGTTTCAAAACAAAACAAAATCTAAACCGAATCATTTTGATGACTGCTTTTTTTCTCTCCATTGTGGGTCTTTGTGGTTCTGTTTTGTTTTTGTGCTGCTGGAAGATGCTATGTGATCATTACAAATTAAAAGTTTTGGAAAGGGGGGAATCAGATACATTCCAGACAAACGTGCTTCAGTGTGAATTTCTTTTCTTTCTCCAAGCAAGCAAAAACGGGCAAGGAAATTTTCAGAAATGTGGCCTTAAGCCGAGCCAAGGTGCGGGTGGTACAAACCACGAGGACATCATATGATGTCATAATATAAGGGAGGGGGAAATGTGGTTGTGCGTATGACATCACTTCCTCTTGGCTTTTGGTCTATCTAGCTGGAGGAGTGGGATTCTATGGCCTGTGTTCTGCGGCCCTTCTATCAAGATGGTTTTAATGCACCATGTCACGCTCCTCCAAGACCCAAAAGAGACAAATTGTGATTCTTCCAGATTTCTTTATTATTCCTCTCCCATAGGCAGAATCTTGCCAAACTAAAGCAGGCTAACCCCCCTATAAGCTGTATACCCCTGGGAATTATTAAGGAGGAGCTGTCTTCACCCTCTTTCTCTCAGACTCTTGAGCTGAGTTGCCTCTTGCTCCTCTGGAATGTAGCCCCTCCCTCCTGGGAATCCAGACTGCAGGTGGTCCTCAACATACGACCACAATTGAGTGGCAGTGATCATAAGTGTGAAAAATGAAAAAAAAAAATTATGGTAAATCGCTTTTTCCCAGTGCCGTTTGTAACTTCGGTCACTAACTGAACTGTTGTAAGTCAAGGAGTACACTTCCATCACAACTGTGTAAGAGCCCTACAGTTGCCACTTGCAAACCTACCCAACTACAATCAAGGCAGGAAAACAACTCGGGGGTCTCGCTTGATTTTCTTGGCAAGTTTTCCTGGTTGGGGGAATTCTGGGAGTTGAAGTCCACTCCTCTTCATGGCCAATCTGGAAAACATGGCCCCTCCTCCAGGCTTCCTGGAAACGCCCCCAGGGCGGCGGCCAATAGGAAGCGAGTCGAACGCGGCGAAGTCTCGACGTTCTAATCTAAGCGACCTCTTTGGGGGGGGGGGCGCCCGGGACAGTCGGTGGGCTCAAGCGGGGAAGGGGGGCGGCGGGGGTCTGTGTGCACCCCCTCCGGCGGAGAGACCTAGATCCCGGCCGGGGCAGAGGGTCCTGGAGGGTCTGTCCCCACGACCCGCAATTCGGAGCGACGCTCGAGACCTTCCTTGCTTGGGGAGGAAGCAAGCTGTGACCCCCTTTTCACGTGCATCGAAACACGTGAAACTCCGGGGTGGGTTTGCACGTGGGAAGAGGGCGGTGCATGGCCATTCCGGGGCACGCCGCTGCCTCTGGGGTCCCGACCGTGCAGGAGGCAGCTCCGTCTGGATAGCGAAGACCCCCCTTGCCGCTGGAAGGACGCCGGGCTTGCCCCGACCGTCTCTTTCAGCTCCGGCCTCATGGCCAGGCAGAGCCGCCTGCAGCGCGAGGTGCTCGGCCTCTACCGGCAGTTCCTGCGCGCCTGCCGAGGCAAGCCGGGCTTCCTGCCGCGCGTGCAGGCCGAGTTCCGCCGGGCTGCCCGCATCCCGCGCACCGACGTGCTGCTCATCGAGTACCTGCTGCGCCGCGGGCAGAGGCAGCTGGAGCAGCTCCGGGAAGGGCACGCCACGAGGATGGGCTTCTTCGCCCCGGGGAAGCCGCCGCAGCAGCAGCAGCAGGAGGACGACGCGCAATCCTGAGCGGAGGATCGGTCTTCGTGGCGCGCGGCGAGGCCCGCTCGCTGCAGACAACCCGGGGGGCAGGGCGAGGGGGCCTTGCGGAGGCTGTTGAGAAGCAGCTGGCCTCTCCGGAGTTGTGTGGATCGCGTCCGTGTGTGCGTTTGAAATTGGAATTTGCAGCTTGAGTCCCGGCTGAGACTTCTCAGAAGATCCCGCAGCGCCCCGTCCCTCTTTTCGTGGGAGGGGGACAGCCGTCACGTCTGCACGGGAGGCACAGCAAGCTTCCACTTGGCATTCTTGTCCCGATGTTACCGAGGGTTTCCCCCCCCTGCAGGAATCCCTTCCAGGCCGGTGTAAACCTGGTACACGGGGGTGGGGGGAGGGCGTGAACAATGGTCGTGGAGAAACAGACACTGGATGGTTTGGGTCAAGCTTTCTCCACCTGGAACTGCAGACAACAGAAAAGAAGAATGGGCATGAAGAGGATTTCTCTCTCTCTTTTTTTTTTTAAACACTCCAGCAGAAATATTGTTAAACCTTTGCAACCAGGGCCAGCAAGTGTTATCTTTTGACAATAGTGGCTAAATGGCTGTTTTCTGGTTTTTTTGTTTGGTTTAACACTTTTCTCTATATTTATTAATTGCATTCTATTGTTATTTGTGAAGCGAATTGAAGCTTTTGAACAAAACCCAAAACTGTTATTGCTAATTTGTGTGCAGTATTTATTCTAGTTGTGTTTTGGATTGCAGTCTGTTGTAAAGGAACGTTCTAAACTGTGGTAGATGATTCCAGCATTTTCGACAAGGAAGTTACCATTATCGTATAATAAATAACTGGTTCCACTCTAGGGCATCAGGAATCTTATAATTAAGATGTCAACATGTCCCTCCAGGGTAGCAGAATAAATGAATTGAAGGAAGTTCCTGGGATTATTTTTTTTCCAACATTAAGTGGAGTTTTTACTTTTATAGCATTTTAATCTGGCTGCAAATTCCACGTAAGCTATAAATGGCTAATATGCAAGGTGGAAATGCGGCTATCTGTGTCCTGTGGCTACGAATCTCAAGATTGTATCAGCCTGCCGCATCCTTTGCAAGTCAAAACCGATACAAGACAGGTCAATGCATGCTAAAAATGCACCACTCACCCAGGTGTGGATTTTTTTTTTGTGGGTATGGAAGGCTTAGAAACCAAAGGAGGTGAGTTCTAGTCCTGCCTTAGGCATGCAAGCCAGTTGGATGACCTTGGGGTGTTGCGCTTCTTGTAAGACCCCACCACACAGGGTTGTTGTGGGGAAAATAGGAGTTGGGAGAGGCAGGTTGGGATGTTTGTTTAAAGGTTTTATTAGACTCCATTTTCCATAAAATAAAGGTTTTACAAGTAATCCTCAATTTAGAGCTATAATTTGACCCCAACATTTCTATTGCAAAATGAGACTGTTTTTAAATGAGTTTTGCCTCATTTTACGGCCTTTATTGCCACAGTGGTTAAGTGAATCACTGCATTTTAAGTGATTTGTTAAGTGAATTAGGCTTCCCCATTGACTTTGCTTGTCAGAATGTAGCAGAAGGATCACATGACCCCAGGACACTGCGACCTTCATAAATGTGAGGCCAGTTGTCAAGCATCTGAATTTTGATCACGTGAAAATGCTGCAACGGTCATAACTCTGGGAAATGGTCATATAAGTCACTTTTTCAGTGCTGTTGTAACTTTGAACGGTGACTAAATGAATGGTTGTTAAGTCAAGGACTCCCTGTGTATAGTTAAACGTTAGGAAGAAGACGTGAAAGGCCGGCCTTGAAACTTTGATCACTGGTCCCTGGAGTCACTGCAGGCACATAATCAACCTGCAAAATCTGCCAATAGTTTATCCAAGATCCCGAGGATGAGGATACAGACAGTGTCTTAAAAAGTGGGGAAAATAAGGCCCCCCGTGAATGAAAAACGCCCCATTTGTCATGCAAAGACCTAAAAAACGAGAATGACTTTCATTGGATTAGTGGCACTTTTTGCAGTTCAGCTCAGGGAGTCCTGAATACTCGCTTGAACCCCACTTGTGGATGCAGCCCTCGTGTCGGGGTTGAGAGAGCGGTTCCACCTTTTGCCTCCTATTCCAATTGGGAACTACATCTACCAGCATGCATTTCCACCCGAAAACTGCAAGAGTAGGACTGGAGGCGGTGTGTACGAAATGATGGGCTGAGTCCCGCCCCCTTCCAAACAAACAGCAGCCTCAGCCAGTGGCCTTTCGAGCAACGCGCGCTCGTCTCCGCAGAGGCGGCGCTAGCTCGGAGTGACCGCTCCCGCGGCCTATCACGGCTAGGCCCACCCACCGCGCCTGACGTAACTGGAGACCGAGGTGCCCGATCCCCAGAGCGGCTCCCGGGCCTCCTCCTCGCCATGGCGTTCGGCGGCGGTTGGTGGGGCCGAGCCGCAGCGCGGGCCAGGAGAGCCGGCGGGCTGCTGAGGGGAGAGGCCTGGCCCTGGCTACGGAGGCCGACGAGGCCCAACTCCGGCCGCGGCGCAGTACTCCCGCCCGCTTCCGAGCTGGACAAGGCGGACGCCTGGCTGCTCCGCAAGACTCACGAGACTGGTGAGGAGGGGAGGGCGGGGCTGGCGGGTGACGTCACGGGGCGGGGCTGGTCGGTTAACTGGCAGCTGGGCGGGTCTGTCACAGTTGCTGCCCCCGCGGGGCATGATGGGAATTGCAGTCCGTCAAAGTTGGGCTTTTTCTTTTTGTCAGCATATAAAAAATATACACACATTAAAAATAAATTTGATACCAGGTCAATAGTTTAAGATCAAAACTAGTATATAAGCAATATTTTTATATGAACTGCAGCAGCTCTTTTTCTTAATATTATATTTATCGTTATATTTAAGTTAGCCAAATAATTCAATGCCTTCGATATTGGCCTCCTAAATTGCAGTGAATACTGTTGATTTTTTTTTTACTTTTTTCTCTATTTTCAATATTGTATTAATTAAATAGTAGAAAATAATCTCTAATCGTGTCATATAAACATCATTGTACTGAGACAATGCAAGGCATCAAGATTTATTTAAAAAAATAATTAATTAAATAGATTCCACCTTCCCCCCCCCCCTTATCCCAGTCCTTCCCTCCTCCTCTTTTAATTGTAGCTGATAACTTGTATATTTATAGTGTTTTATTCTTATTGTGTACATGCTATTGTATTGTTTTATTCTTTTGACCAATGTAAGCCACTCAGAGTCACCTCGTGGTGAGATGGGCATCAAAAATTTAATAAGTAAATAAGTAATGAAAAGGGGGAAAATAAGACAGTGATTTTTTGTGTGGACCCTCCCTGGAATACCCTAAATTTTATAGTTAGATGGATGGATGGGTAGATAGATGATAGTTTAAGAGAGAGATACATAGATAGATACAGGCAGATGGCTAGATGAGAGAGAGAGAGAGAGAGAGAGAGAGAGAGAGGCATAGATGGTTAGATGATAGATTTTATATTTATATTGTATATATGAGAGAGATTTTATATTATATATGGAAAAGAGATAAATACTTTAATAGGTAGGTACATAGATACAGGCATAGATGGCTAGATGATAGACAGACAGATAGATGGATGTTAGATGATAGTTTAATAGATAGAGAGAGGGAGATAGATAGATAGATAGATAGATAGATAGATAGATAGATAGATAGATAGATAGATAGATAGATAGATAGATAGATAGATAGATAGATAGATAGATAGATAGATAGATAGATAGATAGATGGCTAGATGAAAGATGATAGATGAAAGATAGGTAAATGATAGACAGGCAGACAGACAACTATGCTGGATGGATGAATGGATATGCAGAGCTAATTGTGAAACTCTCCCATTTCTCCCTTTCCATCAGCCTTCCTGTCCTGGTTTCGGAATGGGCTGCTGGCCACGGGCATTGGCGTGATTTCCTACATGCAGAGCGACATGGGGCGGGAAGCGGCCTACGGTGAGTGATCTGGAGGCCCTTCGGCCGGGCTGGGTGCCCAGAGGTAGCTTGGCCACAACTGTCCCCTTTCAGCATCCGGCCAGGTGCGGCTCCCGTGGGCAGGATGGCTGGAAAGCCAGGTCCACCTTTTGGCCTTCGCCTAGTTAACGACGGGTCTTCCTCTCTGCCCACGTTTCCCCCTCAGGTTTCTTCATCCTCGGGGGAATCTGCGTCTCGTACGGCAGCGCCTCCTACTTCGTCAGCCTCCTCCTCCTCCGTCGCACCATGATGCTCTCCTACTCGGCCGCTCTCCTGAACTCGGCCGCCGTGCTGAGCGTGGCCCTCTTCTGGCTGTGCGCCATCTCCCTCTACATCGGCCGGCTGGAGGTGGAAATCATCCAGGAGGAGGTCAGCGACAAGAGGAAGGAGGACGACAAGGGCGAAAAATGAAGGCCGGAGCGACTCTTCTGGACTCCACGAGACTTTACGGACGATTCGGAAGGGACAGCTCCACGGCGGTTGGGCCGGATGGACCACGGAGGAAGGAAGGAAGGAAGGAAGGCTGGCTGGCTCGCTGTCCTGCACGCGAGAGACCAGCGAAAGGGCGGGCTTTCAATTCATTTCAGATTTTTCCGGATGGGATGGCAAGGAAGGAAGGGCTTTTAAACCACCTTCTGGGCAAATGAGCTCTCCGGAAGCATGAACTCTTGCTACTTAAGGATCTTGGATGCTTTTCATGAGTGGGCCTGCTTTGCAAAACCCCCCTCCCCTCGCTTTCTGCTTCAAACCGGTTTTCTGGTTTCAGAGATATATATGTACACACGTGTGTGAATAAAAGCCAATTCTCGGAATGTCTTCTGCATAGCTTGTTTGCTCTCGCGTACGCTCCTGACTTTTTCTCCGTCAGACAGGTCTCGCTTCTGTCATCGGGCCAGCTGCCGCTCCGGACAGTGGACATTTATATTAAAGACGCCCAAAGAAAGTTTTGTGCACTTTCTCGTTTTTTTTGTGTGGGAGAAGGGAGTGGGGTCTGTTTTGAAGATGTGTTTGTGAAATAAGGATTGCCCTTATTCTTCCGTGCAAAAGCAAGGGAGGGTTTTCGGGGGGGGGAGGGAGGCTCTGTGAAATACAGGTGGTCCTCGCCTTACAACAGTTCGTTTAGTGACTGTTTGAAGTTACAATGGCCCTGGAAAAATGGCTTAGGACCGTTTTTCACACGACCGTTGCGGCAACCCTTAAGAAAGGTCATAAAATGGAGCAAAACTCTCCTCATTTGTGGCCATAAGCCGAGGACTATCTGTAGTACAGTCTTGCTGGCATTGTCTCTGGAGGGGGACGATTTCGTGCAGGTGAGCTTGTTTATTGCTCACAATTTACTGTGATCCCTTTAAATTTCACCCGTATTGAATTGGGAAACGTTTGATCTAGATCAGTTGTGGGTTTCCCTAAAATGAGGCTTATAACGGGTTAAATCATCAGGATGTGGACCTTCCAACATCTGGGGTGTTTGGTTGATCAATAAGGGTCAGGAGGACCCCTTTGGTTAATTAACCCAAAATAGGAATCTGTCAGGTCAAAATTCAGACAAGACACACGACAAAACAGCTTTTCCAATCTGCTGAAATCAGTTTAGAAGGCAGGAAAGAATTCTGTTTATTTTTAATGTTCTCTCGAGTCCCAGATTGCCAAAAGAAGCCGCAAAATGTCAACAAGAGATTATAGCTACCTTCGTCTACCTGATGCGAACAGCAGATTAATAAAAGGGAAGAAAAAAACAAAAACAAAACACAAGACACGTACAGTTCTTTAGCAACAAGTTATAGAGGGAGGGGGAAAAATTCACATTATCCAAGTGCTACAATCTTCGGTGGGTGCCCTCCGTTTCCCACTAGACTTGTACGGTAGTCCTTGACTTCACGACCAAACTGAGCCTGAAATTTCTGTTGCTAAGCAAAAGATAGTCGCTAAGTGAGCTTCGCCTCATTTTACGACTTTTCTTGCCACCGTTGTAAAGCGAATCACTGCAGCGGTTAAGTTAGTAAGCCGGTTGTTAAGTGAATCTCGGCTTCCCCGTTGACTTTGCTTGTCAGACGTTCGCCTGAGCCCGGCACGCGGCAACCGTCGTAAATACGAGTCCGTTGCCAAGCGTCTTAATTTGGATCACGTGACCCTGGGGATGCCGCAACGGTTGTATGTGTGAAAAACAGTCGTAGGTCACATTTTTCGGTGCCGTTGTAAGTCAAGGACTCCCCGTACAGTTTATTTTGAATAAGTGCTTAAAGTTACAGCATTTGCTTTCTTAACTGCTCCAGGGCCATCTCCAGGGCGTTGCCGTGACTCGCCCCTTTTCTAAGCCCGCTTTGCACCCGGGTCCAGCCCATCCCTGCTGGGCCTTTAATACACAGGAATTGGGGAAAGGATTGGAAAAGCTGCATTTGCATAAAAAGAGGAACAAGGGTAGCTTTGCGGAGGGGCCAGATCTAAAAGACCACCTAGATTATTAAGTGTCAGTGAAGAACCTCAAGCCATCCCTTAACAGGGAGGCAGCATTTTGCTCCCGTGCAATTGCTGGATAGCTAGAACTTCAGTTCAATAGCCAACTGTTATTAAACAATTAAACAGAACAATTTAATAGCTCAGGATTGAATTGATATCACTGGAAAACCAGGTCTACATCCAAGCAACACATTGGGTGATGTGTGTACGACAGGAGTGTGTGGGCATCTTAAGACCTGTGGATTCCAACTCCCAAAACTTTAAGACTTGTGGACTACAACTCCCAGAATTCCCCAGCCAGCTGTGCTGGCTGGGGAATTCTGGGAGTTGCAGTCCACGAGTCTTAAAGTTGCCCAGGTTGAACACCCCTGATGTAGAAGCACAAGCAGAAGCTGGAGGTGGAGTCAAGAGAGTAATCAGCCTGGAATTGATACGTTCTCGCAAACGGTCCAGGTTCAACCCTTTTTGAATTCCGCTAATTCTTTTCTAGCTCCAATTTAGTGCTGACGGTGAATTGACTAGAGAGTCTTCCATATAGGCATGAGGAATAAATCTGCTTAACTGGAACTTGACCTGTAATCTTGCTTCTTCGCCCCTGACCACGGAGAACACGGCGTGTGCTGCGTGTTTGACTCGGCCACCCACCCGTGATCCAACCTCCCTCCATCTTACGATGGGTTCACAAGTGTTTTCACCACTCGCTCCAAAGCCCTGGGAAGAACGAGAGCGCCTCTTTCTGTCAAAACTGAACGCAAGGAGTCGCGTCAACCCCCGTCACGGGCTGCCTTCCAAACGTATCCAACTAATTTCCTTACGGAATAATTCCCTTATTCCCCCTCCGAGATCAAAGTCAGCATATCTGGAAAGTCCATGTTGGAAAAAGCTGTCAATTTGCCCAGCAAGACCACAGGGCAAAGTTCCTAGGAGAGTAAGTTCACACGCCTATTTATTACATTATTTTGATTTATCCTCCTGGATTTGATCATATTGCATATTTTAAGAATTAATTCAGCGCGAGCAAAAAAAGGTAACTGCTGGTGTGACAGCCTGGAATAAACACATTTAGGAGAGGCATGGCGGGCAAAGACTGCCTACTTTTCATTAGCACATAAATGCAGGTTATATTTGACAACTGACAAACCCCCTTCCCCTAAGTCTTTAAAATCAGTCAAGGTGTAGCAGCAGGAACACAGGTATGTGGGAGATGCCCCTTAATACATGTGTGGGTCTTTTCTCCTGGACGTTTGGATAGGTTTTCCACGTTTCTCCGAGCAAAATCCTCCCATTTCAACCAACCACCGATCTTCAAAAGACGGAAGTCGGTCCATCCGCTCTCCTTTGCCCCGAGGACTAGGAAAGGAATGCGATAAGCAGGTACGTGGTTAGCCACTTCTTCCAGGACTAAAGATTTCTTCACCCAGTTTCGCGAAGGCTGCTGAGCACCCCAGCACGGAACCGAGCTATCTCAAGATTTGATAGCTCTCTTCCAGGCAGGATTCAACCGTGGTTCTCTGGGCAAAGAAGACACCAACTTGATCACGGACCGTCGATGGGCGTTAATCCTCCTTGCGTTCCAGAGCTGGCCCACTGTGGATCCCACCACTGGCCATGGAGAAGGGCAGGGTGGAAAACAAAGAGTCAGCGGCAGCAAAGGCCCCTCCCGAAATCTGGGCTAAACTAGCCGAGTTCCCAAAGGGGGCCACCATGTTAAGTCGCTGCAGGTGGTGGTACATGATCTCCCGCGAGGTCTTGGCCTCGGCACTGCCGATGTCCATGAGGCTGAGGGGGTGGTGGGAAGGGGGCAGCATGTTGCTCGGCATGGCCAGGGTCATGTCTGCAGGGGCGTAGCGGATGGTGCTCGTGGCGTAGAGTCCCGGGGAGCCCGCCGAGGAGCTGGCATGCGGATTGCCGAGCTGATGCATCAAGGGGACGACCACGTTGCTCGTGTGGAACCTCTGGAGAACTTCCATCTCCGTTGGGTAGATCAGTGGGGTGAAGGGCGTGGCGGTGCCCCGGTCCTCACAGGGGGAGCCCGAGAGCGGAGGCGAGAGCGTGTCCCCTGAGGAGGACGGAGCCGCCCGGGGTGAGGCGCTGAAGGGCCCTTTGACCGGACCGCTGTCCATCTCTGGAGGGGTGAGCACGGAGTCGGGGATGGAGACGTACAAATGTGAGGGTGCCTGTCTCACTAGGGGCTTCTCCAGCCGAACGGCTTTGTTTGTGGGGAAAGAGCTGCCCTTCCCCCCAGGACAGGTCCAGAGGCCCCCTTTGGCCCGGGATCCTTGCTCCGATTTGATGCTAAGGGCCGGGCTGGCTCTGAGCGAGGCGCCCTTTTGGGTCTGGATGACCGAGGTGAACTCCGACATGCAGGGACGGCCGGGAACCATGGTCTTCCGTCCGCCGGTCTTGCAGCCATTCACCTTCCTGGCCAGGGGCCCCGTCTGTTGGGGGACCATCTCAGGCTCCGAATCGCTGCTGCTGTCGGAGTCCTCGGAGCTAGCCAGCAAGGTCTCCCCCTTCCCCTTGGGCGGGGGGCTCTCCGGCGGGAACTCCAGTTTGATCCGCTTCCTCGGGGGAGTCTCTGTGTCACTCCCAGCCTCTTCCTCCAATGCCTCCTCCTCCTCTTCCTCCTCC